GCAGAGAGCCAGGGCAGCCAAGAGGTCAAATTGCATCCTGGGGTGCATCAAACACACCATGACCAGCTGCTCAAAAAGACAGTGATCCCAACCCTTCAGTGTTGGTATGGCCTCGCCTTGAGCATGGTACTGTTGTGGTCCCCATGAACTAAGAAGAATGTGAATGCATCCAGAGAAGTGCAGCCGGTGACAGACTGGGAAGAATTTGGGCTTGTCTAGTTTGGAGAGAAGGAGGCTAAGGGCTTGTTGAGTTTGGAGAGAAGGAGGCTAAGAGGCAAACCCATTGCTTTCTACAGCTTCCTGAGAAGAGGGAAATGGAAAGGGAGTTGCTGATCTCTTCTCCCTGAGATTCACACAGCTCAAAGCAGCAGCAGGAGAGGTTTAGACTGGTCATTTCTTTACTGAAAGGATGGTCAAACACTGCAACAGGTTTCCTAGAGAGGTGGTCAATGCCCCAAGCCTGTCAGTGTTTAGAAAGCATTTGGACAAGGCCTTTAATAACAGGCTTTAACATTTGTTCAGTCCAGATTTGGTCAGGTAGTTGGACTAGATGATTTTGTATGTCCCTTCCAAATGAAAAGGTTTTATTCTATCCTATCAGATAAATGAGAGTCCATAGGTTTTTCACAAAGGTCCCATTTTTCTTTCCGGATAAAACAACCAAGCAAACTTACTTTGCACTTACTGAAAAACAGCAGAAACTTCCATGCACCAAGCTATGTGATTAAAATGTCTCTTTTTTAAAGAGAAATTTACAGCCTTTGCAAATGGAGACGAGACCATTTCTGAAAGAAAAAGTGGTGAGCCTAGCATTGTAGAGACCATGTGCATATACAGAAGAAGATATGAAGGGCCATGAGCTCTGAGCAGGCAGATTGCAAGCTGGAAGCAGTATTGTACCTGCATTATGAGGTGTGGGAGCAAAGTCGTTCAGAAGTTCCCGAATCTGTTGATGCCAGTCTGGATGTTTTTACTCTGACAGCTCTAAATCTCAAGCACAAAAGAAGGGAAGCTCTTTTTTCTTCATACTTTGATAATTTCTGTGCCATTAACAGAAGCTGAGGTCACAGATGTGGACAGCCATTTCACTGGAGAAACCAACCATCAGAAAGATTGTTCCATCCGCAGAGACTTTATGACGTAAATTGGATGATCACACTCAAGAGATTCTGGTTGTGGTTGCATGGAGAAAAGCAATTATCCTCCTATCACTCTACTACTATGAACGAACAGGTTTGCCCCATTTATCAACCTGTAATCTATGTTAGAAGAAAAGTGAAATCTTTTGCTTCTTTGAGAAGTCATCAGTTGAAGCAATGTAATTTCTCCCAAGAGCAAGGGAAAAGTAGAGATGAAATTAGGACCTTATGAGTCATAGCTTGTTCTCTCTTCTATTTTGGGAGTACAACATCTGTAAGCTACCCTTTATTCAAGGATATTTGGAATTGAATTCCTTGCATTTTTATCAAGGACTAATCCAAGTACTTGATCAAAAACAATTGAGAGTCAAGGGCAGAATGTGTGCTTGATTCCTCATTCTTCCCTCAGTAAAATAAAAATGACAGGTAGAGACTGTGGGATATTTTCGTTGCTGGATTTGTCCTTTTTTTTTCCTCCTCTGTCCAACAAACAGGAATTCTGTTGATATTTCTTTGGTAAATGGGACATGATAGAGAAGGTGAGAAGCTTTACAGTCAAATCTCCTAGAAGTTTACAACACTAAGTCATCTATATCAAAGGCATAAGGCCTTAATGGCAGTATTTCCCCCTAAAATATTCTCAACAGAAGAAAAGTTCCACTGATTATGTCTTGCTAGGGACTAACCCAGTAGTGCTGAAAATATATGGGCATGAAATTTTTGTCATGACTAATTAGTCTCAATGTGGTACATGGTTGTGGGCTAGACAATCTGTATAAATCAATGTATTAATTGTAGAAACTCAATTAATTGCAGAAACTCAAGTAGTTAGTATGGATTAGATTATAACAAGACACATAAGGGAGTTAGGTAGCTACTTACTATTAAAATGTAAAAAATAATTTCATGGAGCACAAATACTTAAAATCAGACATTTTTTTGTTTTACATGGAAAGCCAATGAAATGTGAAAAATCATACTTATGAAATTGTATCAAAAATAGAGTCACATACCTGAGTAAATGCTAAACATTGGTTTAACATTTCTAGCAGAAGTGAAAGCACAAACTTATGTATCATACTTACAGAGACTGGTTTTGATTTTCTTTATGTGTCTAAGATCTGATTTAATCCAAATTAAGATTGCATCTCTGAAGTAACCTACTTTCCTTCTGGTTTTATTCTCTTCTCTTAAATTCTGCTAAAGTATAAGCACTTATTTTACCTTTTCCCAGATCCCAAAGGTGGGGTACTTAGTTTAGGCACAATACATAATACAATCCACAAACTGTGCAAGAAATGGTGAGGGAAAAAAAAAAGGAAAATTCTGAAACCATTATTTTCCTTCCCACTTTTCTAACAGTAATTTCATTACATCCTGCATTGCCATATATTCTCCTAATCAATGTAAGCTTTAAATGAACCAGTGCTACTGCAGAAGACTTGGCACTAATGAAAGCCAAAAGAATACATTATTTTGGTTCCCTAAATGGAAATCATAATTTTCAATTAGAAAGCAGAAGTAAAAAGATGAAAATTGATGGCATTTCTCAGCTGCTAACCTTTACCTGCAGATATCTATTGAAGAATGCACTTAACATCCATCACCAGAAGAGCTTTATTCATTCAATATTCTCAGATATCTTATAGAGGCTTTTGGAGCTGTTAAAGTAAAAAAATTCATTGTCTGTTCTAATATGGAAACCTGGAAGTATATTTTAACTGTTTTTTTACTGTAATAAGCTCAAAATAAGCAATGTATGTATTATCACTATATCATCATTGCATTTCAGCCTGAGGCTTTCAATTAGAGTCACTGAAGTTTGAGAAGAATATTGTGAAAATATTTTGCATTTATATTAAGACAGTGTTTTAAATTACAGGTGGACTCTTCCTTCTCCCCATGACAGAACAACTAACAGATACTCTTAATTTATGAAGATGTTTATTAAATCAGGACACAGTTTTTGCACTGCCCAAACCCTAGCATAAGTACATAATTTAAAAACACAGATCTCTAATTCTTTCACATATAGTAGGTACAGAATTGTTAAAAGAATATATTATAAATCTTAGTTAACATAGAATGTTCTTAAAGAAAGTAAGGAT